TTCACAAATTTTTATAGTTTTACTATGGGGCTTGGCGGATACTGGCTGTGTTCACTGAGAAAAGTTATTTAGCTTCTCTAAGTTTTAGTTTTCTTATTTAAATATGAAAGAGATTGGACAACATAATTTCTAAAGGCCTTTCCAACTTTTATTATTCCATTAAACTATGAGTGATTTTTAGCTGCTTAAAAGCCATCTAGTTTCTCCATATTTCCTCACTTTTTAACTTTTCCATCTCAGACACCTAGCATCTCACATCAATTCTTAACTCTGTTGAACCTTTACTGGACCCAAAGACTTTTAAAGACTTCCATGAACACAATAAAAAAATTAATTAGGGTCCATTAACTGTAGTATATCATTTAACTAGCATTGTTGAAAAACAAAGCATTTCACTTAAATTAATTTTATTGGTAACTGACACCTATTTTACTGAATGCAACATTTTTTTTTTAATGTGTTCTTTGCCTCCCTGTTTATTCCACAATATCAAACGTTTAATAATATATTTACTTACATGTTAATTATTTATATAGTACTACAAGAATATAAGCTATATGAGAGCAATATATGTTTCATTATAACATTCACATCACTTGAGACAATGACTATCTGTAAAGTTGAATGCAACATTTTTGTTTAACATTCGCTTTAAAGAAAAGCTCTAAAAATTTGCCAACACAGAATGCTAGGTTTGAATATTTATGAACCATCCAGGCAACTTGCAAAGAATTAAAGTGATCTTGTTGAGGAGTATAGTTTTTGAGTTCACATTTTGATGCATATATAAATAAACAAATTCTAGAGAAAAAAAAAAAGAAAAGCTCTAAACTGCACTGTATATTTTAATGCCTTTTAAAACAAAATATTTCCACCTAATTTTTTTCTTTTCATTTTCTTAAAGATGTAGAATCACCTTTCTAAACATCTGTTATTATACAGGGGCTCCTTCAAGGCCAATTCAGGTATGAAAATTCTTACTAAGGATTTATTTGGTGGCAAGCGACAGAAACCCAACTCAAACTGGTAAGAAATTTATTGGCTCACCTAACTGAAAAGGAGGTGCTTTCAGCGGTACCAGCAATGTGATTATTAATTTAGCGCTTTCTCTTTCTGTCTTTCCATATTAAGACTCTGCTTTGTTCTGTGGTTAGTTACCTCATTCTTTAGAAGGCTTTTCTTGTATGTTACAATGATTGTCAACAGCAAGTCTGGGCTTAGCAACCCCGACAGAAAGAAAACTCTTTCTTAATGGTTCCAGTAAACACCCTAAACCTGACTCTCACTGGCCAGCTGTGGGTCACATGCTCATGCCTGAACTGGTCAAGGTGACCAGGGAAGGAGTTCCCTCACTGGCCAAGCGTGTCCTCATCTCTGGAGCATTGGTGGAGCATGGGGATTAGAGAGGGAAGGATAAGAGTCTCACATGAGCCATATGTATGGGGAATAGAGGAGGCATGGATTCCACAAAAGAAAATTAGTGTGCTATCACCAAAAAAAAGGGGGAGAATGATGCTTGGCCGGCCAAAACTATAAATAACCCCGATGAAAAAGACATTTATTCCCACATTTTGTAGCATTAGATTGCAATCTTTTCCATCTCTTTCATTGTCAGCTGTCACTCACGCTGCTCTCAATTTGTCTCTACCACAATCTCTTCCTACATTTTAATGTATAACATCATAAGAGGGTTTGGAAGTCAGATGAGCAAAATCATTAGAATTGTTTTCAAAATAAGAGTTGATGTGCTCTGAGAACTTGAGAGCTTCTCTATGAGTAAGGAGTATAAACTTTCTACTTTTTTTTTTTTTTTTTTTTTG